ACCAGCAAGCTGTCAGAAAAGGGTGGAGACCATGCAGCCTTTAAGGAAAACTTAGGGGCGGAGCTTAAGGTTGCCCGGGAGTAACAACTCCCGAACCTTAGGGCTGGGTTGAAAGGGCGAAGGTAACATACCGAAGTGTGAAGGTAACTCCTCCCCCTCGAGCAGCTGGGCCAGAGGCCAGGCGGAGTTACGAGAGCAACTACCCGGCTCCGCCTCCTGCTCACGCTAAGCTTCCGCCTTCCGTCTCCGAGGCTGCCGCCGACTTGAGCCCACTTCCACTTCCGGGGTCACCAAAGAAGAACTGGGAAGGAAAAGTAGAGCAGTTAGCCGCGGCGCGAATTGATCCCGCAAGCACAAACTCAAAGGAGGCGGTCCCAGGAAGCATCTGCTCCGCCCCTTAGCGGGTCTTCAGGGGCCACCCTCCGCGTGCTGCAATGGAACCCCAGCAAATTGCATCGCTAAAAACTAAGCAAATGGTTACTATAGTAGTGCCGGCAAGGTTAAGGTCACATTCCCAGGGTTTGTCGGGTTCTTCCTAGATAAGAAGATAAGAGGAGAGCCACTGAGCCATAGATTCAGTCTCCCTTGCAGACATAACCAGGGAGACCAAAAAGCTGCCGCCCATATCCTTTCCCCGCAACCAAGGACAGAGGCCCCTTTGTATCTTGCAAGGGTAGAGCAGAGGGGAAGGCGCCCCAGGGTGGCCCCCGCCCTGGCCTCCCAGCGCTATTCCCCCTTTCCCAGCAAACTTTGGGCTTCCCCAGCGCCTGACCCAGCTGGCGAACTGCCCCTTTATAACTGTAGGTCCCACAGCCTGGATCCACCCCTCTTGGACGTCGTTGTCAGGCCAGGTCACGGAAAGGGGCCTAGGGATTGGGGGGCGTAGCTCCGCAGGGTTAAGGCCGGAGTGGGAAGCCAAAAAACATTGCATTCAACTGCATGCTGTTTTGTATCTCATTTGCGTGCCAAGCTGTTCGTTGGACGTCCGTACGCGCCCCCGCCCCCACACAGACCAGACTGGGATGTCGTTCAGTTCCCTCAGTGGACATGCCTCTAGCTTGTTACACCGCTCTGGTCAATGCCCTTTCTAGACGCTATCTTGCTCTGCAAGGTTTTCCTCTCATGAGGGCCCCGAAGGCGCCCCCAAGCCAGTAACAATCCCCCTCGCTGAGTTCCCGATCCTGACCACCCGGTTCTCCAGAAGACAATACTCTAATTCTCTGGGAAGTGGAAGAAACCAAGCTGAAGCTAGGGGGTACTGGGACCCCAGTTGGGGCATTCTAAGCTTCGAGTTGCTAAATCTCTTAAGTATTTAAAGACTTTCCTCAATTTTCTTGTTATCCTTCCCAAAGACCCTTCCTTGCTGCGCCCTGTGGTCTCTGGTCCCAGCCTAAAGCAGTGGGCAACCTGGGTACCCCCCACACAAGCAGTGGAAAGAGTTTCAGGGGCCCGCCCCGTGATGTCATCCCCCTCCCATCCTGTCCCCTTCCTCCACCCCCAAGCTGGTTGCATTTAGCTTCCAGAGCTTGGGCTAAGATTTGCTGGAGTTTAAGGACTAATAAAGTTGTCTTTCGGATGCCCACGTCCGACGCCTAAAACCTTCGAGCAAGCATGCAGTTGGGGTTTTAGGGAAGCATTTGCAACCTCTCTTCTCAGCCTTGGCAGGGTGGTGAGTAAACGCCCCCTCCCGATCTTCCCCTTGTTTTAGATTGCCCAGACTTCCTCCAGCTTGTATGGACTTTGATATACTAGAAAAAAGGCAGCTAAGGAAATAACCGCATCCACTTTCCCACACCATTAGTGTCCAAATGCCAGTCCCTCCTGGATATTCTCCGTTCAGGAATGGAATTTAAATTCCATTGGCAGTTCCGATATACCTGGGGAAGAGAAAGGTAGGGGAAAGTTCTACTAGTGTCCTCAGGGGGAAAGTAGCTACCAGTACAAGAGATTTCAATAGGTGAAATGCCTGCTTATTCTATGAGGGGTCAAAGAAGTTTAAAAGGTGACTGGATACCCCTTCCCTCAACATGAAGACCGGGCTTCAAATCCTGACAAAGTGTGGGTGGGTGACTATTTCTGCTTGATTTCTTGTTCAAACTCCTTTGAAGTCTGATTTTTTTTTCCCTCTTCCCTCTCTAAGATTAGAGCAACTTTCTGCAGACCCCACCATGACTCATTCTCTCCCCTTCCTCCTCCCTCTCCCTTACTATTAACTCCTCCCTTTCAAACCCCTATGGCAGAATGCATACACAATATGGGACTGTTGACTGAAAGGTTCTGCTGGATTAAAGATGGACAGTCCCCTCCCTTAAAGATTGACAGCATCAGAAACCCAATGGAAGGTCACTATGTTGGAATATACTGAACAGTAGCATATTTGGTTTTACGATCTCATCTAGTGTAATAGTGTTGCATCCCAACTGCAAATATGACAAGCTTTCTTTTTAGCTGTAACAAGCTGCTGGGGCTTTAGCCCATAAGTGCTTCTTGGGCCCTTCCATCTCCAGACACAGAGTTGCCTAATTCTACCCTACTTGGAAAAGCTGAGGGATAGACAAAGGTTTATTAGCTTGCAAGATTTTTGTTTGTTTATTTAAGTTTTACTCAATGTCTGTATTTCAGAGGGCAATGAAGAGCCAGCCCAATTTTCTCTACCAATTCTTGCAGATTTCTTACATTACCCTAGTAGGGTCATTCTCCCTCCTCAAACTAACCTTCAGAAGAATTAAGAGAAATAAGATCCTCAATATACATAGAGAGCTCTGGTGACATAGTGGTAAGGAATTGCCCTGCCATCCTGAAGATAGGCAGTTTGAAACCACTAGCCACTTTGCAGGAGAAAGACAGGCAGTCTTCTTCCATGCAATTGACTGCTTCAGAAAACCTGTTGAAGAGTCCGCTTTGAGTCAGTTTCAACTCTACAGTACCCAACAACAATAGATATGGGCAAAAAAATTAAAAAAAAAAAAGTAGATATGGGAATCTGAGTTGCTACCCCACTATCTTCCCTGCAGATTTCCCAACCACCTCAAGACATTAATGAATGGATGAGGAATTGACACCTTTCCCCTGTGACAGCCTCCTCTTCAACCATGGAGAAAGCCTTACTGCCCCTGGCCATGACTTCTGACCCCAGACCCTTTAATCAACAACTCCCAGAGCCTCCAGACCCAAAATGTGTTTTGGAACCCCAAGACAGCCCTGAACTAGCACCCACCCTAGTGTGTGCCCTTTGCTGCTGCTTTGGAATCATCTACTGCTGCTTTGGTGAGGGCCCCGGGGGGCAACTGCCCAAGACTGTCAAACTCAAGGATAATGTCAGCTTTTTCTGCTCCTTGGCCATCTCCACTCCTCAGGGAACAGTCTGTCTTCAGTGTGATCCATGCCTGCCTTATCAGCACCTCTACTAGTCATTCCCTATTCCTATACCTTCTGGCTCTGACCCTTGACAGCTCTGTCATTTACCCTTCTCTTGTTTCCTACCTCAAAACCCTACCCCTAAATTACCTTCCAGGCTGAAGGCTTGCCACTTGTCCCCAGTAACCTGAATCAGCCTGTGCTGATTTCTTCTCACTTGCCATTCCCTAGGAGGACTGGACTTCCTAACTTACTCCTTTCAATGCATGAGACCTGATTTACCCTGATATCACTTCACAGTTCCTTGAAAGCCCTTACCCTTCCCAAGATTATCCTTTCAGCACCCTGCCAATTAATCAGCTATGCTGGTAGAGACTTATTTCTGCCTCTCAGTGCCTCCTGCCTCCCTTCCCAGGCTACCGCTGCTTCAAGGCAGTGATGTTTCTTTCCGGCCTGCTGTCAGGAGCTTTGGTGATCTTCCTGTTGTGCCATAAAGAGCGAGTGCTGGAAACACAGCTGAGCTTGGAGGTGAGCGCAGGCATCGCGCTGGGCATTGGACTCCTCTGTGGCCTGGTCACCATGCTGGTTCGCAGTGTCGGGCTCTTCCTGACTGGTCTCCTACTAGGCCTGACCCTGGGCGCTGGAGCCTTGTTGGGTACGGAGCCCATCTACCAGCCACCTTCAGCTTGGGTCCCAGCTGGGGCCCTGGTGGGGCTGGCGCTGCTGGGAGCCCTCCTTACACTTCGGTGGCCACGTCCTTTCACAGTTCTTGGTACAGCCCTGCTGGGTGCTGCAGTGCTAGTGGCCTGTGCGGACTTCTTCCTAGAGGGATTGGCACTGGGAAGTCGGCTGGGCCAACGACTGCAGGCACTTCCAGCCCTACCGCCTCTCTGCTGGTATAGCTGGGTCTTACTTGGGGCCTGGCCAGCCCTGGGGACTCTTGGGGCCCTGGCCCAGTGGAAGCTCATGACTGAGGAACATGGAGGCCATACCAGTGGTAAGTTAGTATCATGGTACAGACACAGCCAACCTGTACCCATTCATGTCCTCAGTTCCCAGACTCGATGAGGGGAAAGGGAGAGATATATTTGAGGGTGGATGGGATGTTCCAAAGTGAATGAGCCAGGATACAAAAAGTTCTATTTGGAGGAGCCAAAGAAAGTCTTAGTAAGAATGAGAAGAAAAATTGTGAAGGGAAATGGGAGTTGTAGGGAACTATTAGAGAAGGAAAGGAAGATCTCAAGGAAGCCCAAGAGGAATGAATGGGAGGATTCCAAAGAGAGGTTCTGTTAGGATAACCAGGGGAAAGATGAGGCATGAGAGGACCATGACAGGGAAGTCAGGTGGGTTTCTCTACAGTGGGTAAGATTCAGGGTCTAAAGAAACCTCCCTGCATTTATATTGCCTCCTTCTAAGCAGTAGTCTTGAGCCACCAGCAAAGGCATCTCCAACTCCTTCGAATCCGTCAGCAAGAAGCCAAATGGCACCGGAGCCCCCCTGGTGTGGGGCTCTGTGAGGGCAGTTACCGCCGCCAGATGCCCCCAAACACTCGCCAGTTACCCCCCAACACCCGACGCCCTGCTGACAGCCTAGCTCCAGTGAGTGGGGAAGGCCCTCGAGGGATGGCACAGAGGGCACATGGTGATGGTCAGGGCGGGAGGGGTCACTGATCTGGGCCTTTCCTTCTACTCTCTGTCTTTGCCTTTGCAGAGTTATCTCCAGAGCCTTCAAGAACGCCAACTGGGGCCAGGCATCCAGGCCACTGCCCCCCACACTGTCCTGGACCTGGATTCTGACTGTGGTTCTACTGTTCCACTCAACACACATTCTGGTTCCAGCCAGACTTGAGCCTAAACTTCCTATGATGCCAGCTTCCCTAGGAAGGGGTCTGGGAAGACTAGGTGGACAGAGCCTGAACCCAAGATCCACATAAACTTCCCCACCTCATGGTCTTGGGGGTAGGTCTGTGCTGTTACCCAGCCCAGTTCTGTAAGACTGTTTCAGGAGCAGAAAGGAATTCTGGGAGGGAGAAGGGGGGAGGGGGGGAGAGATATGAAGTATGAGTATCTACCTCTCTCCAATAATAGAGATGTCTGGTCCCCAAAGCAACTGACTTTTAAATTCTCTTCAAATTAGGAGGACCCAATATACTCTTTATACTAACCACCTCAGTGTGCCTCATTTTGGAAAAATAAAGGGGGTTGTTTTTATAGGAAATCAGGGAACCTCCTATGGCACTTGATAGCTTTTTAATGGTGAGAAGGGCATAAACGATCTCCAGGACACCTCCTACCTATCAGTCCATGAGCACTTGGTTAGAGGTGGTTGGATTTCTGACTAGCCTTTCCCCCTGAACCCTACAGCTCATGCTCCTTTCTCCTACCTCAGTGGGGTTTGTTCATGGTGCTTCCCAAGTTCTTAACCTGGGGAAGATCACGAGGCAGTGTCTGGCTGTGCACCTGCCTCCCACAAAATTTGGCTTCCTGCTCCAAGAACCAAGCATCGGCTCTCCTACCACAGTCTTTCCCTTTTGCCCAAAGGAGCCAAGTCTTTGGGCTCTATGGGAGACAAGTGCCTTCTCTGCCTCTCAGTGTTGGTGAGATTTATTTCCTCCTTAACCTTGAAAGCATTGTTTAAGTTCCAGTCACTAACTCACACTAACTCTTCCCTACTCCAACTCTCCAGCCCAAAGCTTGTTCCCTTCTTCACCAGAAAGCATGAAGGAGATCTATTCCACCCCTGGGCTAGACAGTCATGAAGGGAGGGAGGAAGAACATGGGAGCATTTGAATAAAATGGCATTGAATACTGAATTGGGGATTCTGGCCTCTGCTGTTTTGGGAGCTTCTTTTCTCTATACCCCAAAAACCAAAAGTTAGCCACATTGACAAATGCTCTGTCCCTGAAAGATCTGAGGGGCATTTCCTTCCAAACAGGGTTACACACTCACATACACAAAGTCAAGGAAGAGCAATTTGCTTTTTTCTTAGGAAAATGGAGTTAGCTTTTATTAAACACACAGGTGCCAGACACTGTGCCCTGCCCTTCATGTTTAGAATTTAATTCAACAACCCTGTAAGATTGATATTAGCCTTTTTTTGCAAATGACAAGTCCAAGGTTCAAAGAGCTTAAGTAAGCAGTTAAATGTGCTGCTCAGGGATTTCAGTGCCATTATTCATTTTATTGGCTGTGCAGTTCTTCTGTATTTCATCTAGGAATAACAGGAATCCAGCCTCTCAGTCGTTGCCTCCTGTCAGCTAAAGGCCTGATTGGCACCTGCTCTCTACCATTGCCATCCAGACGGTAGATGATATGTTTGTAAATACTATAGAGGGCAAAGGTGGTAAGGAAATAAGTGACTTTGGTTACTAACTTAGAGCCAGAGAGGAACCATCCAAGAGGGAAAGAACACAGAGGCCTGCTGGCCAGAGCTGGAGACCATCAGAGGTCTGCAATCCAAAGGTTCATGTTATAATGGCTCATGGGTCTTCCTTGTGGTGCCTGCACCATTCTAGTAAACAACACTTGACTCAGATCTTAGGCTTCTGGGAGGGTGACGTTACTAGATAATGAGAGAGTGGTGAAAGCTTTGGCTGAGGAGATAGTGTCCAAGACTGTGGATGAGTGGTCCATATTCAATGTGATATCTGTGACTGAGGCAGTGGTATCTAAATTTATATGTGTGGCTGAGGAAGTAGTGTCTCCACCTGATGGAGTTGTATCTAAAGTCTGGGAACGACAGTGCATCCAGTCCTGGGCAATATTTTTGGGATAGCCTTTTTCCACCCGAAGCTGCCGATTGAGGCGCCAATACAGTTTGCCCTTAAAGAAGTAGACTCGACCATCCCGCCAACTCATTGCAGCTGAGGGCTGATCTGGCACTCCCGTAAACAGCATCTTGATTGGTTTAGGGTAGTTGCGGAAGTCAGTTCTTGCCAGCTCGTCCCACTGCCAGTACCCGGAACCCTGGGTGTGAATGGTGGGGATGAAGAGAAGGATGAGAGGAGAACTTTGGGACTCCCCAGTGGTCCGGCCCTAGCCCACTCCAACTGCAGACTTTTCCCTTCAAGAGCAAACAGCCTCTTAGGGTGATAGCTCCCCCCTATTAAAGGATTTGCCCAGCTTTTGAACTTTATACCTTAAAGAAGAAGACTTTTTGGTTGAGAGGCCAGTAGAGGGCTGCATCCAGGTTGGGTTCTACTCTATTTAGCTTCTTGGGGAAGCCAGGAGACATCTTGAAATTAATATAGCGCCATACTTTGTCTTCTGAAAGCATGTGCGAAAGAGTAAGTCACCTCTCTGCTCTTGGTATAACTTTGGCTTTTCCCTCTCATCCTGTCAGAAACTTCTTTGTTGTTTCTCCCTTCCTTTTATAGTTTATTTGAGACTCAGATAAGACTCTGTAACCTGACCCCTTACCCTTAAAGAAATGAATCCATTGTGTTCGAGGAGAGTAGACAGCAGCATCCAGGTTTCCTGGGAGCCCTTCCCAAAGTGCAGAGATTCGGAACAGGGGGCCCAGCCCTGAATCTGTCACAGTCCAGACATAATCCCCCTTGAAGGCATAGGTCTTCCCTCGGGGCCCTGTGAGCAAAAGGTGTGCCAACAAATAGAAAAAGGCAAAGACCAAATAGAAACTTGTGAGTGTTTCAGTTAGACAATGATATGCTCTCCTCAACAAACCGATTCCTCAATTTTTTCAACTTTCATCCAAGAGATTAAAGACAGAGGGGAGCCCAGTGCCCAGCCTCTCTTTTGTTGTTCAGATCAATCCAATTCTAATCCAGTCAACAAAAACCCTACCTGTGGCTAGGCCCCGTGGGAACCTCACCATCCCTTCCAATACTTTTCCTAGACATTCTGGTTAATAAACTGTCTGGCCTCTTGCAGTATTACCAGATGTGTTTTAGAGACTCATGCAGGCAACAATAAAGGAAATTGCTGACCTAGTCCATCTTTAGGAGCTCTAGTGGCATAATCCATAGGGTGATACACTCCTAACCAAAATACTGCACTTCTCTGTCACTTCAAATCCACTAGCCACTCTGCAGGAGTAAGATGGGTAGTTTCTGCCCATTAAGATTCACAGCCACCAATAGGAAAAGAAAAGGAAAAATAGTTACAGCCTCAGAAACCCAATGGAAGGCTTCTAGGAATCAGAACTGACTCAACAGCAATGAGATTTTTTGTTTGTTGGTTTGGTTTTTTTTTTTTAGATTTTTAAAAAAAATTTTATTATTTTTGTGTGAGTATACCATCAAATCAGATCTGACTGGTACAGGAGGAGATTACTCCTCCTTCCCCGGCAGAGCAGCTGGTGGATTCGAACCGTGCACCTCTGGGAAGCAATGAGTTTTTAATCATCTTTCATTTCTCTGACTCCTCACTCATACTCCAAATGACATTCATCCTTGGCACTGTCGTTAACTCCTCCCTAGATTCTAACCTTGACCATGTATGCTGAGACTCCATATTATTTCCATTTGTCCAAACTTCAAGGTTCTCAGACTACCCCTACAACCTGTGTACAGCCTGGAGGGGAAGCATCGCACCTAGCATCATGGCATCCAGTTCACCACTGCAGGGGTCTGGCATGGGACTGGGTTCAGTTGGCACAGGGGGTACAGAGGGCACCTCCATTTCTTCTTCTTCATCGTCCTCTATCTCTGGTATTTTCTTGCCTGCAAAGTGAGTTAATGAGTCTCGCAGAGTTAACGCATGACACTCAAGCACCTCTTCCCATTTAGTATAAGTTCAGCAGCCTATAGAGAGGCCTGGGCTTTCACTGGACACTAGGTGAGATGACAGTGTTATCTGTAGCAATATGTGTTCTTTTTGAGAGGTAATACAAAGGAGAAAGGAGGCTTTCTGGGATGTATATTCTCCATCCTCATGGGTGGCTGTGAGGTGAGACAAGCCTGGAAGGAAGATAAGACATGGAAGAATCAGAGAAAAACTATTTTAAAGACTAAGAAGCTGTAATGTAATAATCAGGCAGGAAAGAAGCCAAGCCACTTCTCTCCATGAAGGCTTGCCAGACCAACTTTCACGTTCACCAGGTGAAGGGACTGACCATAGAGAGCCTGGATTCCCGCTATATCATCATGGTGCAGCTTGAAGTAGGGCCGGTAGCCAGTGTAGACAGGGGCCATGAGGGCCTTGGTGTACCGGGAGTGCCCAAGCCCCAGAGCATGGCCTAGTTCATGTGCTGCAATGATACGCAGGTTCACACCCCGGTAGGTCCCCTCAGTCCAGAGCTCATCATCATCAAAGTGCACACTGCCCAACTCTGGGATGTCGGCATGGGCCAAGACCTTCCCTGAAAAATGGAAAAGGCAGACGTGAAGAAGGAAGGACTGAGCGGGAATATCCTCCTGCCTATTGTAAACTCCAGTCATCTCCCAAATCTCAAAACTCACAACTCTTGAGTTGATTCTGACTCATAGTGGCCCTCTAGGACAGAGGACAGTCCTATTGGATATTCTAAACTGTACATCTTTATGGAAGCAGACTGCCACATCTTTCTCCTATGGCATCACTTGTGAGTTTAAACTGCCAACTTTTTGGTTAGCAGGATGAGTGCTTTGACCACTGCGACACCAGAGCACCTCCAATTACTCTATTACCTTAAAATTCTTCTCTGTCTAATCAGTCTTTTCTCCTCCTTTCATATTACCCTGTCATTACCCAATTCTTTCAGAAATGACTTAATCCTATTACTTCCCAGCCACTATCTCCTCTGGCCCAATCTTCACTGGGGAGGCAAACTTGAGCCAGGGAATGAGGCATAATCTCTAAAGAAAAGGCTTGGCAAAGGCCCAGGTAGGCGATCAGCTGGCCCTCTAGGGAATATTAAAATATAATTAGGAGCATAGAGTACAGGGGACAGTCACAGGCTGTCTCAGAGATCTGTGAGGTGGGAGCAGGTCCATACCAGGCCCATCAAAGGTATTTGTGCAGTATGGACTTTTGCGGCCATGGAAGGATAGGCGGATGTCAGCCCAGCCAGCCTGCACCTCTTGGAAGGTCAGGGGGGCCACATTCTTCCAGTACTGAAAGGCCTGAAGCAGGGCTGCCCGGGCTGTGTCGGGTGGAAGGGTGGAGGGTAGGTTCAAGATGCGGAAGGTCAGGTGCTTCTTCCTCCAGCGACCTGGTTAGCAAAACAGAAAATAAATTACAAACACATAATTCCTGTAAACCCCAAGGTATTTACTTTGCAGAGCTCCAAAGCAACAAAGTTAGGTCATATCCTTCCAAGGACGTAGATGCTTGGTAATCAACACTAGTGTAGGCTTTCCCAATGTCACCCTCCTGTAGCCTTCCTTTCCCCAGGCTCAGTTCTTACCCAGCAGCAGATATTTAAGTGTCTTCTGGTTGAAGGGGTCTTCCAGGCCACAGCGAGGCTGCCTCATGCGGGCCCTTGTGGCATCATCCAGCTGACCTGATATTGGCAGCTCAGATACTTCCTGAAAAACTCTGGAAGAAAGAAACTGGATGTATCCAATAGGGTAGAAGACTCTGAACTGGGAACTGAAGATAGCTCTTGGTCCACTGTCACCCAAGGTTATATCAAGAATGGCTACAGGGAGAGCTCTAGTGGCCTAGTGGCAAGACACTGTGTTGCAATCCTGAAGGCATGCGGTTCAAGGCCACCAGATTCTCCTCCTGTGCGATTAACTGCCTCTGAAAACCTAACAGAGGATCAGCTATGGGCCAGTTCCAACTCAGCAGTACACAAGAATGGCTACAGGGGTTACTTCAACTTCCAGTGCTCATAATTGGAACTTTCTCTTCTATAAAAATGGTGACCCTCTAACTTCACATCCCCATCCTCAGTCTCTTTCACTTGGGTGAGGTTCCCCTCAGTTGTGCTCTTCTGCCTCTACTGCAATTTTTAACTTTCTCTACCTCTGGGGACATGCCTCAGGATCTGTCCTCCCTCAGTCTATCTTCTTACTGGATTCTCCGTAAACCTAGCCTGCTGTGCTTGGAGCCTATAAGCTTTTCAAGAGACTGTGAACATGTCTGAGCACATAAATAATAATCCATTAGATCCAAAATATGAATGGAAAACTACAAAATAGAAATAAATACTGACTTAAATATCCATAAAAAGTTGTATTGCCTTTCTACGAAGATGGCACCTAAAGCCAAGAAAAAAAGTCCCTGCCCCTCCCAAAACTGAAGCCAAAGCAAAGGCATTAAAGGCCAAGAAGGCAGTCCTGAAGGGTAACCACAGGAAAAAAAAGATCCACTTGTCACCCACCTTCCAGCGGCCTAAGACTCTGAGACTCCGAAGGCAGCCCAAATACCCCCGGAAGAGTGCCCCCAGGAGAAACAGCTTGACCACTATGGCATCATCAAATTTCCCCTGACCGCTGAGTCAGCCATGAAGAAGATAGAAGATAACAACACACTTGTGTTCATTGTGGATGTCAAGCACCAAATTAAACAAGCTGTAAAAAAGCTCTATGACACTGATGTGGCTAAGATCAATACTTTGATTAGGCCTGATGGAGAGAAGAAGGCCTATGTTCGACTTGCTCCTAACTATGATGCTTTGGATGTTGCCAACAAAATTTGGATCATCTAAACTCAGTCCAGTTGGCTAATTCTAAATACAGATTTTTCTCACACACAGAAAAGGTTATATCATGTCAACAATGCAACTCACAGTTACACACAAATTATACTTCATGTGAGATATGACTGAAAATAAGTGCTTTGGATATAATGTGGGAAGATTTAAAAACCAATTTCCATGGGGTTGATTGAGACTTACAGTGATGCCATTTGTTCAAAGTAAAACTGCATCTCAGAATTTTCAAATGGCTGGTTTTTCAGTAGCAAATTATTAGGTCTTTCTTCCAAGGCATCATTGGGTAGAATAAAGCCTCCACTCTTTTGTTAGCAAACTAGTGTATTTAACATTTTCATCACCCAGGGACTAAAAAAAGCTTAAGGCCTAGATGATCTAATGACTCTGCTACTCATCCTTGGATCTCCATCTCATCTGATGCCCAAACATCTTTAACTATGAGAGCCACCCAGCTGCTGGATCTCAACAATGTACTTGGAGCAAGCAAAAGTGGACCTAAGGAAAGGAAGAGATGAGAAGAGAAAAGAAGACCTTGTGACCTCAACTCTAAAGGCATGTGGCATGTGCTTTATAATATCTCACCTCAGAGCCTCTGTAATGTCTTCTGGCTTGAAGTCATCAGGTCCTTCTAGAGGCTTCTGTAGGTACCCATACTGCAGCAGATAATTCTATGATGGAGTGAGAGTAAGCAGAATGAAAAAGGAGTTAATCTCCGGGTGAAGCCTCTAAACAAGCTGTCAGGCAAGGACTTGACATGGAGGAATTGAAGAAGAGGCATCTCAGGGAAGGAGCTCAGGTAGAACCTTGGGTAGAACCCGAGAAGAAGAGGGAGAGTGAGCAGGGGCAAGCCATGCATTCAAGGATGGAAGAGAAAGGCAGGCAGAGTGAAGGTCAGGAGGGAGGCTAGGATGGACTGTACAGTGGCACTTCCTGCCCCCGCCCCCCTGGAGTCCCTCTTTCCCTGGGACTCACCACAGCTGCCTCCTTCTCTGCAGGCCCCAGGGCCCGGCCTGAGACTGTCATGGGCAGTAGGAAGCCCAGCCACAATTGCTGCCAGTCCATGGTCCACCAGGCAGAGAAGCTCTGGAGGCTGGCTGTGCCCTCTGCCCAGAGGTTCCCGAGAGGATAGGGGAGCAGGGCTAGGAGGGGGGCCCTTACCTCCACTTCCTCTCTCTTTCCAGCCTCTGGTCCTCTTTATAAAACATCAGCTGAGGGAAATTGGGGGGAGTGGCAGGGGGAGGTGACTCAGCCCAGAGATATGTTGCAATTCACTATTAACCCCTGCTCTACCAGAGAGGGGAAGTTTAGGGGAGCCCCCCCAATCAGAGTCACTAGGGTTGATGTCACCTAGTTCCTCAGGGTGCACACTTCCATACCAATTCCTCTCATACAAAACTATGTAGAACCTTTAGTAAATTTTAATAATAAAATAATATATGATAAATATAATTTTAAATTGTTTAAATATAATATTTCTTTAATTATATGAATACTAATAGTAAAATTTCTTGTAAACTTTTTCTAACTTGAATTATAACTTCATTGTTATGTACCACCAAGTCAGAACCAACTCATAGCCGATCCTCCATCAGGTTTTCAGAGGCTGGGGGGAAAAAAGAGGAAGAGATTGCCCATCCTTCTCCCGCAAAGCAGCTCGTAGATTAGAACCACTTGCCTTTGGGTTGGCAATGCAACTTCTTTCCCACTAGACCAACAGAGCTCATAATATTATTAGTTGTAGTATTATTGGGAGCTCTTGTGGCCTGGTGGCAAGAAGCTGTGCTGCAATCCTGAAGGCACGCAGTTCAAGTCCACCAGCTGCTCTGCAGGAGAAGGGTGGGCAATCTCCTCCTGTGTAATTAACTGCCTCTGAAAATCCACTGGAGGGTCAGCTATGGATCGCTTGTGATTCCACAGCAAACAACAATAACAATATTAGCAATGGATCAAAAAGTCTTTGTCATGAAGTTCGAGCTAACTCATAGGAGAACCTCCAGTGAGTTTTTTCAAGACTTAAATCACATGGGAGGAGATTGCCCATCTTTGTCTCACATAGCTGCTGGTAGATTCAAACCCCCAGAAAGTACACCACTTTTGAATAAGCGATACAATTGTCTACAGACTACACCACTAGAACTCCCTAGGTAACTGAGCAGAAGCCATTTAAAATTTTTCTCTTCTTTTCCTTTAATTGCAACTTCTTTTTCAAGTTATTGATAAAAAGTTCACATATATCAGTTACCATACTATTATTACTAAAATACAAAAAACTAGACAGAATTAGAGATGATAAAAACATCTGCAGCAACAGACAAGAATGCATGCTGGCTGCATAAGCAGTAGAAACCACCTTGTTTGAAGTGTTATTGTTAATTGGGCAATAATGACAGCTCTGATAGAGGACTGTCAAGAAGTTTCAAAAACTAAAATTAACAGTGCTTTAGCATTGTAGTTATAATGATACATTTAAGCTAGATTTATGAAAAGTTCTTTTGCTGTTATAATTAACTGCTGTTGTTGTTGTTGTGTGACAATGAGTTGGAACTGACCCATAGTTGACCCTCTCCCTGTTTTCAGAAGCAGTAAATTTAAAAAGAGGAGATTTCCCATCCTTTTCTCGCGGAACAGCTGGTGGATTTGAACATCAAGCTTTTGGGACAACAGAATAGCTTCTTACAACTAAGCCACCAGAGCTCCCTATAATTAACTATAGGAATATTTTAGAAAAAAAAGTTCATTTGAAACAATACCAAAAAAAATTTATATATTTTGTTGTCATCTCCTCTGGTCATATTAGAAAGCCTAGTCTAACATACTTTGGACATGTTGTGAGGAGAGACAGGTCCTTGGAGTGGGACATCATGCTTGGGAGGGTGGAGGGACAGCGCAGGAGAGGAAGGCCCTCCATGAGGTGGATTGATTCAGTGACTGGGATAATTGGGATGGGAGTATCGGAGACAGTGCGATTGGCACAGGACAGAGCGGAGTTTAGGGCTGTTGTACATAGGGTCGCTATGAGTCGCAAGCGACTCGATGGCACATAACAACAACAGTCTACACTCCATGCCCCACCCTAGGAATCCCACTGGAGCCCCTAATGTACTCGCAAAGTCCTCAGCTGGAAACTTCAAACTGTCCTGGGACTGGGCATCCAGGCAAAATGAGAAGTAGAGTTCTTGAAGAAACTAGGGAGAGAGATCATGGCCATTTCCTGAAGGTAGCAAGTCTTTTGGACTGCAGCCTTCATCTTTACCTGTGAACTACAGAACACACGCATACAAAAAGCTAAGATGAAGCAGTCAGGGAACTTGGGTTTCAATTGCAAGAATTAAGATTGATAGAAGGATTAATGGAAATGAGAATTATAAGGAGAATGTGGGAAAGTGTGATTGTTGTTGTTATATGCCATCGAATCACTTGCGACTCATAGCGACCCTATGTACAACAGTCCTAGACCCTGCTCTATCCTGTACCAACTCGCTGTCTCTGACACACTCACTTCCCACCACCCCAATCATAGAATCGAACCATCTTAACAAGGGTCTTCCTCTCCTGCGCCGTCCCTCCACTCTCCCAAACATAATATCCCTCTCCAGGAACTGCTCCCTCCTTGCAACATGCCCAAAGTATGTCAGACGAAGCCTCAGAATCCTTGACTCCAAGGAGCATTCCAGCTTCACCCTCTCCATGGTACACCTGTTTGTTCTCCTACCAGTCCCATGGTCTATTCAACACTCTTCTCCAGCACCTACAGCTCAAAGGCATCAATTCCCTTTCTATCATACCTAGTCACTGTCCAGCTCTCCAATGCATAGCACATAATTGCCAAGACTATAGCCTGGGTCAGGCACACCTTAGTCTCCAGCCTGACATCATTGTTCTTCAGTACTCTTGAGAGGTCCCTCACAGCTGACTTTCCCAGTGCAATTCTTCTCTTGATTTCCTGCCTGCTGGTACCAAGAGTGTTGACTGTGGAGCAAAGCAAACGAAAACTGTTAACTATCTCAATGCCTTCACCATCCATACTAATGCTGCCAATTGGCCCAGTTGTGAGAATCTTTGTTTTCTTGATATTGAGCCTCAATCCATATTGAAGGCTGCATTCCTTGACCTTCTGCAGCAAGTGCTTCAGGTCCTCCTCAGTTTCGGCAAGCAAGGTTGTATCATCTACATAACGCAGATTATTGATGACTCTTCCTCCAATCCTGATGCCACATTTCTCCTCATAAAGCTAAGCCTCCCAGATAATCTTTTCTACATATAGACTGAAAAGTATGGAGGCAAGACACATCCTTGGCATACACGCTTCCCAGTTTTGAACCCTGAAATGTTTCCTTCTCTGTTCTGATGACTGCCTCCTGGTCCAATTATAGATTTTGCTTTAGCATGATCAAGTATTCTGGAATTCTCATTCCTCTTAGAGTTAGCCACAGTTTGTTGTGATCCACACAGTCAAACGCCTTTGCATAATCAATGAAACACAGATAGACATTCCTCTGGTACTCCCTGTTTCAGCCAAGATCATCTAACATTAGCTATAATATCCTTAGTAACATGACCTCTTCTAAGCCCAGCCTGCACTTCTGGCAATTCTCTGTTGATGTGCTGTTCCAGTCGTTTTTGGATAATCATCAGCAGAATCTTGCTTGCACGTGATATTAATGATATTGTTTGATAATTTCCACACTCTATTTAGGTTACTAAAATAAAGGAAACAGAGAGGCTAAGTAGGAAGTAACCCATCCTAGTAGTCTTGTGCTGTGGGGAAAGTTTGCTAAGAAGGCAGGATCTGAGTTTTAAGGGGCTCCAAGAGAAGAAGGCTCTCATTTAAATCTATGGACATGGGGACTCCAGCAATGGGCTCAAACATATCAGAAATAGTGAGGATGGATAAGCCAGGATTCAGGTCTGTTGATCATAGGGTCACTATGAGTCTTATTTGACTTGATGGCACCTAACAACAACAAATGATGACTAAGAATTGAGTGAGATAAAAGTACTAAAGGACAACAATACAGGTCTTGAGTAAAATTGCAGAGCTAAGAAAAGATGCTCTAGTCAGTCAGTGCATAAACTCTTAAGAGTCCAGTTTGTTCACCACCAAATCCTTAATACCATCTCTAGGGTCACCTCCAGGCTTCAGAATGTGATTAACGAACGTTTGTTAAATGAATGACCCAGGTAAAAAAGTGGTGGGAGCCAGTATTTAAAGAAGACTCTGAATGCTATTGTTTTTGTTGTTGTTACTGTTATGTACCGTCGAGTCAGAACTGACCCATAGCTGATGCTCCAGCGAGTTTTTAGAGGCAGTTAATCACAAAGGAGGAGACTGCCCATCCTTCTCCCATGGAGCGGCTGGTGGCCTCGAACTGCATGCCTTTGGGATTCCATAGCAGCTTCTTGCCACCAGAACTCTGAATGCTATTACAGAGAGAGAAAAGAAAAAAAAAATCTTAGAATTGTTATGCACTACAGAGTTCTGGTAGTGTTGTCCAGAGGGAGCTGCATTGCTAACTCAAAAGCAGCCCCTCTCTGGCAGTTCAAATCCACTAGGGGCTCCAGAAATATGGGTAATCCTCTTTCATGTGAGTTAATAGCCTCTGAAAACTCACTAGAGAGTTAGAATGAGTTGGTTCCAACCTGACAGCAATGAGTTTGAGTAATTTGTAATAGTCGTCCCTGGGTTATACAAATGATTACATGCTCCACTACTATCCTGGTGGTTCATAATAACAAAAAATACCTCAAAGACAGGGTCATTCCATCTTCCGTACTCTTTGAAAAGTCACACCCCTGAAAACCCTATGGAGTGCAGGTCTACTCTCCACACACAGGATCAACTTGACTTGGGTTAACTAACAATTAACATTATGTGCTGGGTGCTTTATAGAATAGCTCATTTTATGCCCCAACCATTCTGTGAGGGAGGAATCCTCCTGGTCAGGGACCTCTCCAGAGTACTGAAGAGCAACGATGTCAGTCTGGAGACTAAGATGTGCCTGGTCAGGGCTATAGTCTTCACAATTGTGTGCTATGCATCAGAGAGCTGCACAGTGACTAAGAATGATAGAAAGAGAATTGATGCCTTTGAGCAGCGGTGCTGGAGAAGAGTAATGGACTACTAGTAGAACAAACAGGTTTTTCCTACAGAAATGAAGCCAGGCTGCTCCTTGGAGTCAAGGATTCTGAAGCTTCATCTGACATACTTTGGGCATGTTGC